TTCTGGGAGTTGAAGTCCACTCATCTTAAAGTGGCCAAGTTTGGACAACACTGCAGTAGAAGGAAGCTGACCTGAATACGCTGGAGCATATTGGCTTCAGGAACGAGGGATGCTTGTGGGTTGGAGAGGTTGGACAGAGACACAATGGGTCAAGGCCTTGACTGAAGCCACAGTTTTCTTTGGGTGCACCTTTTAATGGTATCTTCTTCTTCCCAGAAAATGGATCTAGTATTGGTGCCTCCAAAAGCTCATGGCAGCTTCTACGAAGGAGATTGCTATGTTCTCCTTTCCGTAAGTAACCTGAACGTTGGCTACGATAAATTTCGGTACAATGTAGCATTTCTCTTTTGATTCACCATGCCAAATACTCAAAAGACAATATTTGCATTCATAGGCCAAACACCAAGTATGACAGTGTCAGATGGACATGAGCCCTTTGCCACAGGCAACTGTATAATACCCAGAAAAAGACAAATGATCCATCCCAGAATTGACCTCTGGGGCTGGCAGTGAAGAGCATGGCAAAGAAGGTCTTTATTCTCTCCAGCTCAGAGCTCTTCTTTTCAACCTTTAGAAGCTGGGGTCGGAACCTCAGATTGCCTGCAAATAAAGTTCTGGCGCTGAGTTCTCTGGATGGGAGAAATATGTGAGGTTCATGCACAATGGACATAAATACTGTTGGGGGGGGGGGAAGGACAAATTAGAGCTCCCTAGTTGAACTATAACCTCTAACAAGTTCAGCTAGTCCGATCAAAGGCAAGGGATGCTGGGGTTTGAAGGTTAACCATATTTAGATGGCTCCAGGTTCCGCACCTCATTCCTGTTTCATGGTCTTATAATATCATCTGCTGGAGTAATTATTTAATTGACATCCCGCATATCTTGTTCTGTACTAATTTAAAATTTCCTTTGATTATGGTTTATGGGTAATAGAATCATATGAGGGTGTCAGTAAACCCAGACTCGCCTCACCCGTGTTTGCTAATGGTTGGTTCCAAGCATCTCTTCTGGAGAAAAGTCTCATAACTCGTGGTAATTGTGACACACCATTGGGATTAGAAAACACTTTTGAACTTTGGGTACAAACTCACAGGAATACTAAGCCGGAAGCGTCCCAGATACTGTCAGGTTCAGCCCAAGAACAATAACGAGGCAATCCAGTACAGTACAGTTCCTTTATTAGCTTGTACCTAATAGACAGAATCTCGCCAGACTCAACCTATGCTGAAGCAACTAGTGCAGTGTTGTCCAAACTTGGCCACTTTAAGATGAGTGGACTTCAACTCCCAG